AGTCAACAGTACGTTTTCATCCTTGGGTGTGAATAAGTCTGGTATTCATCAGCTGCAAAGAATTTGAGAGAAACACAAAATTAAGTACAATGTTGTTCTTTCTATTACTGTCCCAAATCTCCATGAAACAATTATTGCTGAAGCATTTCAGAACAACTTGTCTGTTGGTTCAGTTTTAAATGTTACATACAATTGTTACCCAGACTGATTTTTATTGTCTTCTAGACCTACTCCATTTGGGCTAGTAGCTGTAAAAACAAAACGGAGTGCAATGAACTGCATCCTTCTGTTTCTGTGGTGCAGGTAATTATATTCTTTTTCCTTACAGTGACAAATCTAGAGTGTTGTTTGTTTGTTTTTTAATTGTTTTTAAATATAATGTTTAGTGCTTTAGTGTGGAGTGTCAGATGATTGGCTTCATCTTCATGTCTGAAAAAGAAAAAGGATTTAACTACACTGCTCGCTGTTTTTCATTGTTTTATTACTGAAATTACATCCTGTGATTATGATTTTGATTAACCTTAATGTCATTAGTGTACGTTCATACACAATTCAAGGCCAAAACCAACTTCTAGCTAATTGCACAGCAGTGGTAAAAGGAGAGAGCTGTAGGGGAGCATTACAGTTTGGGCGGTGTTAATGTACTAAGTGAGCCCTGTGGTTACTTTTAGAGAAGAGGTGGGCTGCAGGGTCACGTGTGTGGTTTTAAGTTAAATTTTCCTCTTACTGTCTTCCCCGCTGTACCTAGCCCCAGCTGTTTGATCCTATTCCCTCTGTTTCTTTCTTTCTTTTCTTTTCTTTTTTTTTTTTTCCCACTTGTAGCTTGCCCAGTTGAAGGGCAGCATGTGTGACTTAAGTATTTTAATGTTAATACGCCCATCTCAACATCTTTTCTACACTTTGTCTTCAAAAACTGAAGGTTAAGTTATATTTGTAGCCATCTTTCTCATGACTCTACTGAAGCTGTAAACATATTGCAATAGCATAGCAAGTTATAAGACTTGCAATTTTCAGACTGACTTCAAGGATAGACTATTTATATGTTAGATTTGAAAGAGAATAAATATTCTTATGATGCACTTTTAGTATGATTAAAATGAGTAAAGTTTTTTTGTGTGTGTGTGTGTGTGACCTACTTGTCACCCACAGTCACTCTTTTTCTTTCTGTTTTTTTTTTCTTTCTTAAGATTTTAGCGTTCATCCTCATCAGGAACATTCCTGGATATGTCCGATCTGTATATAGCTCATTCTTTGCCTGGTTTGGCAAAATTTCTCTAGAGGTAAGCAAAGAATTTCAGTTTAGAAATATAAAGATGTTTTGTTATGCAAATTGAAGTATTAAGATAAGTACCAAACTCATGTATTGCTTTATTTAATCCTACTTGACCTGTTTTAGTGTTGTAACTTCCATCCACACTAAGAAATCCCTGCTGAAATAGCAGTCTCAGAGCATCGATCTTATTTATCTCTTACACTGTTTTGGGGTTGGTGAGAGTTGGGGCTTAATGCTGAGATAAGCTGTGGCATGTATGCAATTGGAAGATACGTTTGAAGTCATTTTTGAATCAGCATTAATTATATTGTCTAGTATAATCCCACTTATAAAAAAGTTTGCCTTAGAAAGCTTTGCTGCATTAATAAAGAAATGTATCTTTACAAGCAAAACCATTCTTAGAGCAAGTTTTCTTCTTCCATTGAGTGAATATTTTGAAACATTTGGAATCATCTTGCTTTCCATTTTATTTGCTCTTTATTAATATTAAATGTTTAATTTTATTGTATTACTGCAATTTATTTTTTGAAGGAAAATTAATTTACATGAAAAAATTAGGAGAAACTCTGTAATACAGTGTATGTGTAGCACAAGATTGCATTTATTTTTTTTAAGGATCTTGTTTTCACTATCTTGATTCATGGTGAACTTTAAGGTGCTTGTCAGCTCCAGGGGCTTTCACGTTCATCAGCAGTTAAAGCATTGCCTTTTGTTTGCGGGTATGTGAGTAAGTCCCTCAGCAGAGGGGCAGTAGCTGAGCACATACAATATAAATTGTGTATCTGTTCTCATACAATATAAATGATGCTTCCTTATGCCTTATTCAGGTAAGAGCTCAGCAAACTCATTTTGCTGTGCACTGTACCAGGCAAATAGTCTGCTAGGCCTTGCTGGGCCTCGTCTGAGGTGGCTTATAGCAAAGACATGTAGAATACAGCTCCTGAAAGTACATTATTTGTCTGACTTGAGCAGAAGTACGTTGTGTCACCTGATGCAGTAGTAATACGTGTTCTTCATATAAGCAAAAAAAAAATATATATATATATATGAGTATTTTTAAACACTTTATTTTTTCTTGCAGCTTTTCATTTGCCAATACCACATTTGGCTGGCAGCAGACACAAAGGGGATCTTGGTGCTCATTCCTGGATATCCGATGTTTAATGTTATTGTCAGCACTTTTATATTTGTGTGTGTGGCACATGAAATTTCTCAGATCACTAACGATCTAGCACAGATCATGGTACCTAAAGATAACTCCACTCTGCTGAAAAGGTTGCTATGCATAGCTGGATTTTTTTTCGGACTCCTCCTCTTCTCAGCAATGCAAGATCAGTCAAGGCATTAACTTGAAAAGGTTCTTGAAAACTTTTCTTCAGGTTTATTTTGCATCTGCCTGAACAGAAGTTCTCAGCTGGAAGTACAGGAAGACATGGACATGAAGTGTGGAAAATGTAAATAGCAGAAATGTACATATTTTGTGTGAAAATGGCATTCTCAAAGAATCCCAGAAACAAGAATGCACTGTACAGAATCGCATGTGAAAATGAGTCTTTTTCTACTGGATATATTTCTGTTTACATATCTGTTTAAACGTGACAAAAGAGGTGAAGTGAAATGGCACAGCAGCATCACGCGCCTGTCGTGGAATTACCCACTGCCTTGGGTCAACGAATGAAGAGTGGCTGCTGCCAGAGGGCTGCATGTAGGTAACGCACGCTAGGCATTCTCAGCAAGGAGCAAGAAGAGAGCAAACCTGCCATCCTTAGCTAATGGGCACTGCTAGCTGGTGTGGAGCATGAGGTTACTTCTCTGGTAAACCAGGGCATTTTCCTAAACAAAGCAGTAACTTCTTCAGGAGGGACTGTTTGAGGTGGAGGTTGTATATGCTACGTGAAACCCTTTATACGTGGAAATAGAAAGTCATCACCAATTCAGTGACTTAAGATTACATACAACTTTACATAACGTGTGTTTTTAAGACATTTCCAGGAAATATGGTGAATTATGAGGTTGAAACTCTTGTTAAATATACAGAGAAAATATTTGATTTGTTTTTTTCCCCTGAAGTTCTTTGCCTATGTGCGGTGCTTTCTGTGCAGTCTCAGTGGACAACCAGATGAATAGTTTTCTCAGCTGAATATTGGAAAATTCTGGAGAAATTCCATCTTTTTCCAGTCAAACAAAATCCATCATATCCGCTTCATCAGATCTTAAGGAAATGGGAGAACAGGGGAACAATGATCTTTGAACCTTTCTAGGCCATCAGTGACCTTGAACCAGGTCTGATTAGGAAACTGGTGCCATATTCTGTCTTGTGATGATGTTTTCATTTAAAAGGATGGGAGTCAATCTGTTGGTACCATGAGGAAGAGGGACTGAGCAGACATCCTGTTGCTTGCAGATGGTTCGGTGTCAAAATTACGAATCAAATGAGATTGAAGCTGTTGGAGGAACATTTTTCCCCACCCTTTTCAGCAGTGCTGTTCTTCATTACCACAATTTGAACTCTGAACCCAGTCTTTGGCATAAAAAGGAAAATCTGTGGAAGTGACAAGCTGGAATTTAAGTTCCACTTGGTGAAGTCATGGTAATTTCCCCTGAATTGTGGTTTTTGTTCAAGTAATAGTTTGACCTTGTTTCTTTTACATCATGTTCTGGTTACTTTTTAGCAGTCAAAAACATGACTACAATATTGTTATCCCAGCATATGTGCAATTATGTATGTTCATAAGCAGTAAGAATCCTAAGTGATACTGGATGTTTTTGATGTTGTCCCAGTTGAATCATGGAAAAAGAGACACCAATGGCAGTTTAAAAAAAAAAAGTGAAAGAATGGCTCCATATTTGATTTTGGTGAAGAGAATAATTCCTTTTTACAAGTGATTATTCATCATAAAAAAAAATAATGAAATCACTTCCCCCAAATTCAGCAGTTTTACTAAGTCTGCCAGATGTTTTGAAGCTGTTGGCAAGATACTGAGCTGTTTGTTCTTTGGTACATTATTTCCAATGTTTGGAAAGTTATCCTCCTTGACAAGTATATTACTGGATACTGGAAGAAATGATATAGGTCAACACTGGTACGTAGGATCTGTAACCATCTGTGCCAGTATTAGGGTAACGGCGAAATGTGAGTTTGAGGGGATAATTTTTGTTTTGTTCTTCACAAGTTAAGTATTGTAGATATAATTTTATTTATCTGTTGTACAGATTTGGTTAAAAGATTTATTTTTAATGTTTGAGATAATGCACTTGTTTACTGTATGTGGGATAAATATATTTTCAGGTTATGTACAAATATGAAGTAATTTAAACATTAAATAAATGTGCTGTGGATGCTTATTTTTGTAATGGGAGCGGCATCGATGAAGTAAAAACTTCTTATGGCCTGAATCGAGCTGGGCTGCAGTTCCTTGTGGTAAGGAACTTCGCTTTGGAGTTTACCTATTCAGGTCCCCCACAAAGTAGTTAATAGAAGGAGGAGCTTCAGAGGGTGAATTCCTCTCCCTGAGTACACAAGGAGGTGTGGGGCTGTTATGGCACCTGAGCTAAGAGCTGTAAATGCTCTCTCCTCCTCTCCACCACACCAGAAGCCCGATGCCTGTGCAGTCAGGGCCCCTTCTTCAATCCTGGGTCGTGTACCACCTACTCCTATCCACACCCCTGCTGCCGTAACAAAGAGGTGTCCAGGGACTGTTAGGTAATAAACAGGCAAAGCCATCACTGATGTTTTTCCTATTTATTAGATTTGACATTCTGTACATTTACAAAGACAGCCATAGTGCTTTCTACTTCATGTGGTTGCAACAGTCTCATTACAATACCAGTTCCCACCGTCACTGTACATTGCTGAAGGAGGCTGTGACCGTACCACTCTGTCACCAATTTTAACTATTTCTAGTTCTTTGTTAAGTGTCTTTAGCGAGCTTTATAAATCTATGCTTCTGTGGTAATTATTTTAATAAGTAAAAATAAATAATTTATTATTAAACTTACCTCAAATGCCTGATGCTTTCAAGCATAAAATAGTTTCAGGTGTGCTTAATATCCATCACCTACATCATCAGAGTCCTCTCAGAATACACGGAGCACCTGCTGGTACAACCTGATCCTTGATGCACATACACAGCAGCTTAAGAAATTGCCTTCAATACCCTGGCACTCCTCTATCTTAGTACAAATAAGAAGGGAGTAGCTCAGTAGGTATTTAATTGATTGTCACATCATCCTGAAGTTACCAGAAATTGTCGTGATCCAAAACCAATACTATTTACAATATTTAGTCAACTATAAATCACTTTAAAATCCATTCCATTCATTTCTGTTTCAGAGCACTGACAGCTCATACATTTGAAATTAGCAGTCAAAACCCAAATGCTGATTTTACTCAAAATTGTTACAGCTTGGCAAAAAAAAAGGTAATTTTTTAATTTAACATCAATCTCAGTGTTCATTAGCTGGTTTTCTGATTTACTTCCCCCTGATGGTCATGCAAAGCTGTTGGAAAATCAGAATGTTCACTTAGGAGCCTGATGAAATCTCTTCCTTGGTACAATCTGAATGAGCTAGGTGTGATGTGTGCCACTTAGAAAGTAAGGACGAGTTGCTCTTCTTTTTCAGCTCTTTCAGAAACGGACTCAGTGGTCAGTTTTACACTTGGCCTTCAGAGCAGCTTTGCAAAATAGGACCTTTGAAGTTAGGCAACATCCAAGTATAAACAACAAGTTGGGTTTGTCCTGTTTGCAATGCAAAGTGGATGCGCTCAGTACATACTTTGCTGCAGTTGTTACACTTGTACAAAACGTGTCTAAAAAGAATCTGGGGGCTTCTTTTAATTACTGGCCAAGGAGTTGTATTTAAGTCCAAGGCTTAAAAATGATCGCTTTTTCTGAAATAAGTTTTTGTGTTTTCAAGGAACAGGGTCATAAAAAGAGGGATAGGAGGGGGGAACACCAGCAACTGACTACTTTGGTCTTTATACAGTGTAGTAACTCAATTTTAAAGTCTCTTCTTAGGCTCAGTATTGAATTCCTAAATTAGTCAGAATTTCTCTTAGCAGAGACCTGGGAAACCCCAGCCACAAAAACGTAGCCAAGCACAGAGCAATTTTAAAGCAGATACAGCTTTGTGCTTAAAAGGCAATGTCCCAATGAACAGACAGCTTCTGAAAGAGAAAACATTACAGGGAGAAAAAAAGACAAAGCACAAGTGTCAGCTGGAAACGGTGACACTTTAAGGTAAAACGTCACGAACTGTTGGTGCGGGCTGTGACAGCTGGAGCCCTTTAGGTCCTACATTACACTGTCTTTGAGGATTTAGGGAAGCATCAGAAAAACTTAAATGCAAAAAAGCCACTTGAGCTAAACTACCACCATCTAGTGAAAAACAAGGAACCTCAATTCAGATGAATTTCTTTTAAAATAATCAGATGAATGAATGGACAGATTTTAAATTTTATTGCTTACAAGTCGTCAAATACATTAAATGTCTGGTAAAGCAACAAGGCCCATTTTCAACATGAATAGCTTAGGTTTTGTGTTTGTTTCTTTCAAAAATAACTTTGCTCATTATATTTTTATCAATTCTACAAAATTAATGCCTAATAGATGTGGAATACTACTTCTGAGCATCATATTGCACCAGCTTCCATGCTTATACAACACTTTCTGTGTGCAACTGTAAGGCAAGTTATATCATCCCATACAACAGACTCTACAATCCTTTGAATCTGTTGCTTAGTTTGAAGTTTTGATTTCCCTGTTAAAACCTTCAGGAGAGATCATGAGACAGAAAAAAGTTTGATATTTATTAATACATACATTTGAAAGATTATTTTCTTAATGTAACAAATATAAAAAGTTATCAGTGTTTACAAATTGTCCAAAATGTCCAAAGTACAAAAAGATACAGTACATTAGTTATATGGAAGTGATTGTACTCTCTGGCACTGAAATCAGCTTAATACTGTGGGCATGCACAATATACACCAGGAAAACTCATGCATCAATCAGAACAGATAAGGAATAAGACAATTCCTGCTTTCTCTGATTACAAATTCATCGCTTCTGTTAATTTTCTTTCCTCAGGAATACCATTTACCTGTAAATAGATAAGAGTTCATATAATCCATCAATTGCAGGTGATGCTTCAACAATATCGAACTATCAACTGGTAGCACACCCTGTAAATACGATTTATTAGCCCCTTATCAACAAGCACATTGGAATTATCAACAGAAAGAAACAATGGTACAAGTACAACCTGAAGCAGGAGACAGCACAGACAAAAAAGCTTTGCTTGGTTCCTTTTGGGAAAGGAGAGATGTGGAAGAAGACAGGTTTAACATGGGAATTAATTCATCTTTCTACTTTGGATCATTTCACTGGGAGACTGCGAAACTCAAAATGGAAAATGGTGTGTATAGTGTACATGCTCTACTCGTTCTTTTCCATCATAAGAAAATCCTATACTTTAGTTCCTCTAACCACCTTGAGAGAGTGACCATGGATTTTCCTGATCTATAACAGAAACAATTACAAAAATAAAACTTAATGAACCTTTTCAGATTGGAGTTCAGTAGCAGTTTTCAGGAGTCTAAGGTGCTTATGCTAAGATAACTCAGATGTGAGTTGCCACCTTTCATACAACTCCTTCCCAGTTATGTTTTAACTGTGAAATAGTTTAGCATTATGCTAGCAATTAAGTCCAGTTCCCATATTTTTATATAAGGTAAGAAAGATTTATTGTTTCTTTGGGGGTTCAAATAGTTCCCCAATAGGATTTTGATTATTAGACACCCTCTGCTCTTGAAATTAAACACTGAGTATGGCTGACTGAAGGTTTGAAATAGAAATATCCTCTTATTCATGCTGGTGGCTGTTAGTATGTTAGCAGTCTGAATGTATCATGGGGAATTCTCCATAGGAAAGGAAGAAAATCAAACTAGTGTAGTTCTATAGTTTTTTGTGTCTTTTACCTTCAGTGTTTTAGTTCTGTAAATGTTTTATTTGAACAGATCAATAAAACCATTTGCTGGGTTTGCACTGATGCTGCTCAGAGTTTTAGGAACACCCGAGTTTTACTTTATGTCTAACGTCTCTCCAGGTCTCACCTCTGACAGTACAAGTCAGGGATTTCCATTTAGGAGACAAATTGCTATGGGCACATGCTCTCATGTCAGGAAAGCGCTGGCTCGCAGTGCCAGCTGTACATCTGCGTTACAAAGGAACGTGTCATTGTCAACTAAGAAAATCCAGGGAAATGTCTGTCCCCTTCCACCCTCCCCTGCCACTTCTGAGAGCTTGTCACAGGCAGGGTCTGTGCCGAATAGAGAGGAGCAGCTGTATTTAGCTCACCCGGACACGACAAAAGGTAACTAACATAACCAGCCTTTGCCTGAAAAGCTGTTCAAAGCCAAGTAACCATGACACAAATATTTTGGAACCTGTGAAGCAATTCACAATTCAGAGAATTTTTTGGTTTAATGTATTTTAAAATCTGTCTTCTGTTTAAGAAGAGCCAAGAGTGATTTCTCCCAAAATAATGTCCTTTACAAAAACACACAGGAAGATTTTTAACATCTATTTTTGGGCAGTTCTCCAGCATGATTTGCACGTTACAAGCCCATGGTAGCTTACATATCATAACCTCTTTTGAAGTATCTCACTGCCATCACCATACACAGTACTACCAAGAGATTTTGCATCTTTTTACTGCAAGACAGACTGGCATTCTTATAGCTAGACAGTCGTAACAGAAATGCTAGACAGGGTGACATTTTTATTTTGCCTTCCAAATGCCTTTGATCATTGAGAATATGCTAAATTTCAAACCAAACCTGTGCTGGAGGCTTCAGATGGATACTTCCAGGGTCAGCCACCATTTCCAGTAAACTTATAATAAAGCACAGAAGTGGCAAAGCTAGTAGAACAACAGTAAGGTGTTTTTTTTTTGTTTGTTTGTTTTTTTAACGCTTTTAACTTCCAGATTTAAGCAAAAAAACAAACGTGTGCAGAAGCATCTACTATATACTTGCCTCAAATCTTTGAAATGTTGTCATACGAAATTCTCCTTTAATCCCCGAAAGCAGTAATGAAGAAGAAGGATTTTGAATGAAAACGAAGAAATTGCTTATATAACTCCTAACTTAGAACAAATCTTCCTCTCAGAGCTGTAATTTACAGACTGTGTTCAATACATATGTATCTACAGTTTTGCCTAAACACCTCTTTGAATATTCAAAAATTGTACTTTGGCCTTTACTTTTTCCTTATAAGATCTTCATTCCCTTTCCCACATGGCTAAAACCGTATCCTCCTCAGTTCCCATATGCTACCAGATAACTAAGGAAACAATCAGCCTTAGGGGAACCATTCACAGCCTCAGTCAGCACACGTCACCATTGGTGAAAATGGTGCAAAAGTGATGACTAAGACACTGGAAACCAGCAGCATGGATATTTGTCTCACCACAAATTCCCCAATATCCATTGTTTATATTAACAGCATAGAAAAAGCTTCTTCTTCAGAGCTTTACTGGTATTGGCAGGAATTAGAAATGCTGGTTTTGTAGTAAACTTTAGAGAATCTGAGCAGCGTAACTGCATTTGGGGATCTGGCTGTAGTTTCCTGCTGTAGTAGAAAATTATTTCTATGAGGAGTTTTCTAATATAGCTGTACCAGATTCCAGTGTCACATGTTGAGTCCTAATGCAGCATTCCTCCTACTTGTTCAACCAATCCTATAACAAAATTTCCAGTGATGCATCTAAAAACATCTGGAATGACAATCCTTTCATACTTCATTATTTTTGAAAATGTTTTCCACCATACATGGACCGTACGTGTTTTGGTTGCCCACCAGTCACGTAATAGTCACAGTATTTTTCAGTACTGACCTGCACTCTGCTGCTGTGGAATCTGAGTCTGATGTGGCAGGTTCCTACAAAAAGAAACAAACAAAAACAAATTAATAACTTTAAACCTTCTATACAAATTCTGAAGTGTTATGCATAAAGTTTAATATGTCTAGCCAAAATTTGTGGGGTTTTGCTTATGAAGCAATAATATCAATTTTTGCTATGCAAATCTAGTTGTCAAAAGTCAGCTAAGTCAATAAAAAAGTTAGTTTTAAGGAGTAGTTCCTGTGATTTTACTTGTCAACTGGGCTCAAAGGCTCAAAGTTGGTGAAAGACCAGAGGTAACAACAGGCTTCTGATGTTATGCAGAGCTCAGTTTTTGTAAGTGATGGATATAAAAAAGGTCTTTGCAAGTTAATTATTGACTGCAGAATGAATGAATGTTCTGTTGGTCTTACACATCTGACCAGTTCACTTATCAAGCCAAAGTCACGTTTTTATGCCCTGCTTAAGTGCCTATTTTAACAGGTACCAGATATTAAGGGTGCTTTTATGGAAAGGAATTAGGGGTTGGAATGAAGGTGAAGTGGCTAAGAACTGTATGTACAAGTTCAGAAAGCCTCTGGCGCAGGCTCCAGCACCCCCACTAAAAAAAATAAATAAATATTCACAAGGTTGGCTTTCTTTGGAATTAATCATCTGAATAAAGGCAAATACAAAGTTTTTACAGTGTTATGGTCCAGGTGTGTGAAGTAAAGAAGGAAAACACCATCTGGAAGTATCATTTTGATCCTGCATCACCTCTTAAACCTCCCTGTACATTTGGCATAAATTCATACTCGCTCATGGGTCCTCATTTCTTTTACCGTAACTTTTGGCTTTATTCTAAAAAGCTGCTGTTGTGAATAGAAGAACAAACTGTAAAAATAACACAGCAGTTGTACAGGGGGTCATTTATACAGCTATACTTCCTGGAGAAATTTTTTGTAGAACTTAGTTTAGGGACAGGGAGAAGAAAATACTTAGCACATTATCTACATTATGAAGGGAACATGGGGCAACCATGTGCAAATTGGGGCCAGTTTAGTGCTGGCACTGGACCAGTATCATCATGGTTGTGCCATTCCCTCTCTCACACAGGCCCATCAGCTGAGGAGCTACCAACTTGAGCTAGTGCCTTGTCACTGAGTAATGCCAGTCACCTCTAGGGCCGTTTTCTCAGATCTGCTCAACTACTGACAACTCGGCCAAACCCTTCCAGAAACGTCTTTTTTTTTTTTTTCCTGCAGCATTGCCTACCTGTTTGGCTTGGAAAATATGCACAGCATTAGATGACTTTGTCTCAATAGTTTCATAAAGTTTTCGATAAATGCACTTTAAGAAATAAAAATGACTATTTTTCTGGTTTCTGTCTTGGCAACAGTGGAGATGGCTGAGGTTACTTTTTCATTGGTAATCCTGTATTTACTATCAGCATAATGGAAAACACTCTTCTGTGCAATGTTAACATTTCAGACACAAACCATCCCTGACAGGTACATGGCTAAATACTAAAAAAGTTAGGATTGTATGGGGTTGGTGTTTTTGTTTTTATAACAGAACTCCAAAGACACATACTAAGAAATAGGGTTTCCAAAAAGGAACAGTTCTGATTCCTCTGTCAAAAGTAGTTTTTCTCCAAAATATGCAGAAATGTAATTGTTCCATACAAAGCTTCTTGCCAAGTTTGCAGCCTGGAATCCAGTCATCTATTTTTATCACAGTGGGCCTTTATTTCTGCTTGAAATGCAAGCGTCAGAGCAATCCTGAACTACGGAGTCATTACTGGTACCCCCACAACAAACACATTCCAGAGTTAAATTGTGTAACATAATAAGTATTAAAAAATAAATAAATAAATAATCAAAATACTTACTGTTGTGTTTGCATCAGCGGCATACTAGTATTGTCGTAGCTGTCTGTGTGAAGGGGTGGCACAATCTCGCCAGTAACTGGGTGAAACACGGGCAGTGTGGAAAGGGGCCAGGCTATCTCCCTGTTCTTAGACATGTCACGCAGCTCTTTAGTCGATTTCTGTATAGCGCTGTGGTGGACCAACTGGATGCTAGGTCAAAAAGGAAATAAAATAGTAAATACGTATTTTAAGTGCTCTGTCTAAACTGAAAGACTTTTACAATTATTATTTTTTAAAAATATACAAGGACTAATGCATGCTACAGACTCTATAGTGCAGCAATTACAGCAAACCCTTCCATAGTTAATTTAATAAATAATGGATTTATTTCATTTTGAAGGCAGTAATTATTCTACTAGACTCTGCTGTCTGGAGAAGTATTTTGCATAGGATCCATACTGTGCAATTTACTGCTATTTTTCCATTTATTTGCTGCAGTTCAAATAAAACTTTTGGTAACTCCCGATTCATGTGGTACATCCAAAAAACTTCAAAGAAAATTAATTTTAAAACACTCTATGCTGTAGCCACTGGACACCTTCCAGGATATTCCTTCTCCTGTCCACTACTTTGAAGATACAGACTGGGAGGTCCAACGATCAGGAGAATAAACTATATTTTAAGATATTTATTCTTAACAGAACTAATTTATTACAGACTAATTTATTTACAGAACTGACAGTTGCTAATTTCAAACCCTTTTTATTCTGATCTTCTAGCCTCGCCAAGACTCTGATTTAAAAGCAGCTTTCACATTTATGAATTAAACCATGGATTAGAGAGAATGAAAGAAGATTATGACACACATGTATGAAGCATGACAAGCTACTGAAAATGGAAATTAAATGATAAAAGAAAAATAACAGGAAAGAAGACACTTACTCTGGTGTTTGCATGTTTCTCTTTTCCCTAAAAACAAAACAAAATTTATGAATTAAATAATAGCATTGATAGTTGGAACATTAAGTCTATCTGATGATGAAAATAGTACGTGATATAGAAATGCTGACAATGTTACTGCTAAATGCAACTTGGCAGCATTTGCAACTGGGTTTATGGCAAGGCCTTGATGAACGCACGTACAGAGATGGGGTACTGATGACAGACACACAGACACACACACACGTAGAAATGAAAATGCAAGTTAAAGAACAAGCTTCTGGCTAAAATAAATTCTGTGACAAAATGAAATTGTAGTTTGTGTAAGAAATGGCAGAAATTGCGTTACTTGCTGCTTTCTGTTTACGGTTACCTCTTTTATTATATGTCTAAATTCAGTTCACATCCTCAAGCAGATTTATTTTATAAAAGTTAGCATTTTAGAAATTACTTAATAGTACTGAACCAGTGATCCTTTATTAGTATTTTATTTGTTTGGGGGCAAGAAATTTCAGGTTTATGTGGAGATTTTTAACCCTTTCAACTAGAATAATTAAAGTCCCTGTATGCATTCTCTTGGAAATTACTGTACGTGATTAGATGACAAATTAGCTCAATATTTCAAAACAGATGTCTTTTGGCATGTTTTATTTATTCTTTTAATGAAGTGAATGGAATTCTTCTAACAAATAGTCTTCTATGCATTATAATCTTAGAAAAGTGTACAATTACTAATTAGTGTGTTAAAGTACTCACACTCCTTCCCGTCGGCAGCACATGATATAGGCAAGTATTAGAAAAAGCACCAGTGCTATTGCCGAGGGCACTGCCAGTGTAATTAGGAAATCCGAGTAATAGTCTCTGCTTTTCAGTGTATCAGAAGGTGGCTTGTATTCTCCACCATCAGGTAATATCCCCTCTCCGCGAATCACTTCCTGAAAGGTGGAAACTTGTTTGGTATTGTCAACCTGACAGCCAGGGGAAAAAAAAATAAGAAAGAAAAAAAAGAAAATTACATAACAAAGTAAGAGAATGTAAAACCAGGAAGTACTTAATCAATGAGAACACAGAAAACAACCTGTATTACACAATAACATTTGACAAATTCTATACATTTTTGTCCAGTCACTTTTTTTAAACAATAAAATCTTACAGTTTGTCAAAACTTTCTAGATATTATCTATATTCTAGTTTCTAATATTACGTTATCATATTACGTTATCATATTGTTACTAACAAGGTAACATAGGTTACTTTTGTGCCTACCAGAGATACTGTTGGGTTTTTCTTGTTGTTTTTTGTTTGGTTGGTTGGTTTGGTTTTACAGATTAATTTTTGGATTATTACAAACAAATGCTATTTGAGTAAAAGTTCAGTTTTTGTTTAGTTTTTTTTTTTTTGAACAGCAAAACTGATTTGTGATGAATAAATCGACTTCTTTCTAGTCTTCCTAAATAACAATACTGCCCTCTCTTGTATGAAGGTGGTAGAGATGAGGAGTGTAACTTTCCTCCTCGTCGTGTCCCACTGAGTTTTAATATCGAGTGTTACAAACAGCAAGAGGCAACACCTGAGCTGCTGAGGGCTGAGCAGCTCTAGGCCATCCCCTTCCACCCAATGCAGGAAGCGTGCCATCATCAGACAAGTATTTAGTTGATCATACCCAGAGTTCAAAGGGTTTTCTACCTCCTAATTCAACTAAATTTCAGAAGACTGCATTCCTTGCCACTAATACATATTTTTAATGTCTGTATCTAAAGTTCCTGGAAATACAAACTGTGTAGTTGCTGAACTTCATATTGCACTTAAGTGACTGCCTGTTCCATCACCTCTTCATTTTCTGGTTCTTTTCTTGTTATCTTCAGTTAGATACTTGAAAATACACTGAATTTGCCTACACACTTGACTTTTGGTCATGTCTTTACAATTTGCAATTTAATTCACGAACAAGTGCATTAAAACTTGTGCAATGGATGAAAAGGTTTTCATGGAATGCTAGAAAGAACGCTTGCTTGGGTTTCAAGTGTATCCATTTGTATTTTCTAACTGCAAGACTGTTAGACAAAAAACAATTTACGTATTCTCTACTTATTAAATGCTGTAATATATTTTACATGAGGTATTCCAGGTCCACCTGGTTGCTTAGTGGAACCTCAAGCCCTAAGCTGATGCACAAAAAGGATCTGTGCACCTACTGATGGGGGCAGGAGCCCACCCAGGGAACAAGAACAAGCTGTCAGACAGCAGTGTTAAGAGGAGGAATGTACTAAGTTGCCCTGTCTTTTCAGAATTTGGGACCCACAAACTGAAATCCACTCTTTGATGCGTGTGTTACCTGCCAATGTCACTTGATAACGTGAGAGGAATAGAGGAAGCTATGACGGCTGTATTTTCAGTCACTGGTTTAGGTTGCAGTTATGGCAAATGGAGCTGAACTCTCTCCCAGTACACAGATCTCAGGGGACTTCCTACCCCTTGTTTTGCCTTGTGAAAAGCTGACTATGATTAGATAGAGGGAAGCTTGGCTCCATTTTCTCTTTGATGCAGCATCCAGGAACAGTGCTGTTGGCAGCAGCAAACACCCCTAAGCCTGTTTAAATTCAGTTACGGTGGCACGCTGCCAAAACAAGTGCCAAGTGCCAAGTTCAGGAAGGTTGTGAAATTGACTGCTGTAGAAAATTATGCTTCTCTTAGGGAGTCTGTTCCTTTTACACATCCCAGGGTGACCTCTGCCTTTCTCAAAACAGCACGACAATGCTGCTTCATGATTAGTTTATGAGCCACTGCTACTGGCAGACCTTTTTTCTGGAGCAGTCCTAAGCAGTTGCTATTTGTTCTGCATCTGTACAGTTGGTTATTCTTGCATTACTGCACTATTCCTCTGCTTCTCCTTTTGAAATTCATCCTGTTTGCTCAGGCTATTTCTCCAGTTTCTCAAGATCTCTCTGAATTGTGTCCTGTCCATCTATGCACATGCAGTTCCTTTCAGCTTTATGGGGCCTGCAAACCTAATTTAATAAGCACATTCCATCATCCATATTAATGAAAAATGGCAGGGAATTATTGTACTCCTGATATTACTGTGGCTATCCAGCCAGTTTTCCACTAGGCCCATGAAGAATTTAATCTAGGTCACATTTCCTGAGCATACCTATTTTGATTTCATTAGCCAACACTATTTTGTTTCCTTTTTGACACGAAATATGTTTTATACAAATAGTATTTCTATGCTGTTAAAAAGTATTTCCAAAAATAAACTACTCAGTGCTGTAGACTCGATATTTGAGAAAACAAATCTATATACGCATTTTAGGAAAGCAAGTGTAACTAGCAGTATTAGAGCATTCAATTAACAAACTACATCTACCTAAACAGTTGTCTTTACTTTTAGCTCTGTAAGCCCTATAGGTCTTTTGCCATTTATATAAATCACAGTTAGCAAAAATTAATATTGTGGTTTCACTGTTGCTGTATTCTGAGTTCAGTCCACAGAGCAAAATCCTTTCACAATCTTAAGAGTGGCTGCTAAATGGAGAACAATGTCAACTGGTCACAATGAAGTGGAATTCGGCACAGTTGTCTGGCCAGGCTGGCAAAACTCTTACCTAAATAATGACTAGAATGAAATATTGAAGTTCAACAAACATCATTTTTATGCAACAATAACATAACTCACCAGAGAGATTTTACACCAATCAATATGGAATTGAGTACGGAACTTTTTATCACATGTTATTAAGGGCTCCATTTCTTGACTGCATCTCAGCTGATTTTGTGGGTTTTCCACTTCCCGTAAGCATGAGGAGAAGGGAACATCTGCACCAACCATAACGTACACGCTGCAGAAAGAGATGAGTGACAGGCTGTCAGGATACCTCTCACAAATACCCAAAGGACAATGACGTGCTCTTCCAAAGACTATTCTTGTTCACAGTAACAGTCAGATGTTTTAAAGACTAAAATATTTTCTAATTTCTTCTTGATAGTATGCTTTACCTAAGCATAGGAATAGCAGACTGAAACCAAACAGATTTTTTAGCTACATATTACAACTTACTTTGTTTTGCAGTATAATGCAAATGCTTCCTTACCGTTAGAGTTGTCAAGTCCCAGACTTCTTATCTTGGAAGTCCTAGACTTCCGAGTGTAGGTTCCTCATGTAAATAAATCAGTACTACTTTTGAAAATTGTATTAAAAAGTTTAATTTTATCTTTTGGAAATCTTCAGTCCAGCTCAGCATAGTAGTTTTAAATAATTTCTTCCCATGTTTTCAAAGAAATTAATTAGGACTTATATTTATAAACTAATAGGAAAGTGACAAAGCCCCCAGTTTCTCCTGAAAGATTTGATACAACCAACACAATTTGGGGAATAACTAAAGCAGTGTGTAAACACAGTACTTCATTTAGCATTACAGTGCATAAAATAACAGCAGCTCCACTGACCGTATTATTCATTTTCATATTTAAATATGTAGAATTCTGCTGGAAAATATGGTCTGCTGCACTAGATAATAATGTATCAGTGGATCCTGGCATAGAAATTACATACTGATTGCTGTTTTTCTTTAAGGCATTATCTAACTGAATGTTTGAAATGTAGCCACTTGCAGTAAGCGGCCCTCCTACTGCTCTAGCAAGTACAGAGTGTGTAAGCCACCCTCCTTCAGATGTGTTCAGAAACTCCAGATGCAAAACAAGGACTCTGTAACAACAATCTTGTTTGCACACAGCTTGGATTTAGACACCCTAGCCCTTCTTTAGACATTTATTTGACCCAAAATATCTAAAAGAGGTAAAAAATGAAATAAGATAAAATCACTAGACACCTTTAATTTTGCCAGGGAAAAGCACTACGACAGCCGGTATACTTGAAGAGACTGGATCCTTATCAGTTTAGAAATGGAACATCATATTGCAGAACAGAGCGTATGGTTATGAATCACATCTGGAAATAATGGATTTCTGCAGTTCACAGTCAGTAATCTAAACTCCCCAGACAGCTCAAGCTTAAAACTTTGATCTGTCCACAATGCTCTCGAAGCGCGTAACTAGGGATTTCACTAAGACTACAGCTACAAATGACACTGCTAAACACTAAATGTTCATAGAAATCTGAGTGTCTTTGCAACTTGCACTCTACAACACCCTCTTTTAAATTTTTGAGTATTTAACAGTTCCTAATTTGCAAAACTCAAAAGTATACCAAACCACTTCTCAATATTAAGACTAGAATGACAAAATAAGTGTATTTACTACTAACTATTTTGTAACTAGTGGAATTTATTAGTATTTGTTGGACTGTAAGATCAATGTATAGAAAACTGTCACTTGCATAAAACACAAAAAATCCATGCTAAAATGGATGTTTGGAATATCAGTAAACGTTTCGTATCTAACACCAATTGGGACTTCCAAAATATAAAACAATAATTGCAAAGTTTCTAGAGAGCCTGTAAAAATATTAAGCCTTTCTGTAAGAAAAGAAGAGTAAAGTAGAAATAACAGACTGACACACGTGCTTACCCTTCCTTCATGTCATTAATAGGAAGTGGAACTCTCCCTCCCCTGTCCAGCGCAGAAGTAATGTTTATAGCATTCAAGCGTTCTGGCTGCCATACATTTTTCACTGCTCCAAGAAAGTCTCCCAGAACTTCACTTGCTAACATTTCTTCCACATTCATATTCCTTATGAAGAACTCCGCTTGATATGGTAAAGGAAAATCTAGTTGTAATGAAGAAGAGAGAGTTTTGCCTTAAACAATGACTTCAAAACAAATATTTTAAAGCAATGATTAGTGCAGTATCACTTTAAGGTTGATAAATATTTACAAAAATCTTGTATTTGAAATAGCCCACTTTGAGCCTAACATGATTATTGTTTAATTAAAGATTAGTACCATCAGTTATTACGTAAGCTGAAAATCACTGGCAATTTATGAAGTTACTACGATATGGGGAAGAGGAATGAAGGAAAAGATTCTCAGCTCCTAAATCTTCATTAAAGACAAAAGTAGGTTCATGCTAACATTAGTGTCAAAGCTGCTACCTTGCTACCAGAAAATTAGAATATATTTATTTAACTGCATGATGTTTGTAGAAAGTCTCTAATGGCTGAAATAAATAAAATCCCTAGTAGCACTACACCTCTGCTACTCAAGCTTTACAGTAATATAAGAAATATGGTGTTTGAATAATTTGACAGAAACTGTTCTTAGATGTCAAAAGAAATAGACCTTACAAACGACTGATACAGAAGGCAAGCTGAATCTTTGCTATCTTGAATTGTTTTAGATTATGTAATTCATTTTTTCATAAACCACAAAATATTTTATCATTATCATTTATTTTTATCATTCAATTGTCATTAAAATGCATATTGGTGCTTTCTGATACCATTTTGGAATACTAGCTCTGCTACGGCTGAGGATGTATTTCAGAGGCTCAATTAATTTCAGCAAAGCAGGGGCACTTATGCCACCAGGCAATTTGGCCCAGTGTTGAAATTTTAGCAATTTTTTCTACCCACTGCTTTAAAAAAAATCAACTCTTATATTCATTAAACAGTAATGTGTTATTGCTGAATTCTTTGTCCTTCTACATTGATGCTCAGGGCCCTTTTAAAATATGCACCTAGCGTTGTTCTTTGCACAAAGAAAACTAAGCAAACTGAACAGCATACAGAAATACATGTACTGTGAAATCCTTTGTGCAAGCTCCATTTGAAAAGACATAAATTTCAAATTACTTCCAAAACATAGACTTTTTTTTTTTATGAATAAGGGATCATAGTCTTACCTGACATAAATAATTCAGACAAAAATAACAAACTGAAACAAAAGAGGAAAAACTCCCTTACTTCCCCTTTATGCCCCTACATTTGGCTTGAAGACCTGACAACTATTTTACAGTACTTTTTATCATATAAGAATGGGATCTCAAAAGATTTATTTTGTTTATTCAGTTCAAAACTTAACAAGCTGTGTTCTGCACATACCTTCTGCTGACATTATATTAATGATCAAGTTACGTCTTGCTGTCTCAAAGGTACGCCTGTTATATGCAGTGATCTGGAGTAAAAAAAGAAACAGCCATAAGCAAAAATGTGGGGGTGGCATTTCCCATCCTACCCCCAACCCTCTGGAAGCCCCACTCCCATTGAGACCTGAATTCATTGTTAGCTCCCCAGGGAACTCAACTAGCTAGAGACATTTAAATGAATTATTGGGGACCCAGCAATTGCAGTCTTTGGGACTAGGATTTAGTTTTAGTTCTAGCCCCAGTGAAGCTTTACTTCATGAGTGGATTCATAAGCATTGCTCTAACACAAGTAGTTTTTAAAAAATCCTGGAATCTATAAGTGGAGGGGAACTGAAAACCAGTAGGTAGATGGCAACTTTCATGCCTCTTATTAAACTTATAAACCACTGATCAAATTTTGCAAGGATACCAATCTTATATGTTCGGGATGCCTGAAACGCTCACAGGTGTCAAATACAGTCCTTGGTAGTTGCTGCATGATGCTGCTCAGAAATGGAGCTGTGATTATGTGCTCACTCACAAGAATTACAGAATGAGGCTGGATATTGATATTATTTAAGTAACATTTTCTCTACTTTTTATTTCCTGGATGGTGATAAATCTTTCATGAAGAAAATAAAACAAGGCTTCCTCCCTGAGTTCACACTTCAGTTCATTTCAGGGAGAGAGGAGAGGCAGAGCATGACTGCAGCTGACAGGACTGTGCTGCTCCTCAGCAAGTAGAGCCACACCGCCTTTGTGAGATGGATTACCAAAGAAACAGAAGTACATCTACTGCAGGACTTAAGTAGTGGGAAAAGGTTGCCCAACAAAATTAAATCTCATGTAATTTATCAATTTCATGATAAAAGTACAAGAAAATTCCTTAGATTTTTTCAGTTCCTCAGTTTTGTTAATTTTTCAGAGTTGTTTCAACAGTAGTTTGACCATTAATAGTTAGAAAACCAAACTCTGGTGGTACGAGATGTATGTAGGAACATGGAAGTACCCATTTTGAGCCTGTACGTCAGACTGTTGTTGGTCTGGACTGTACACCCGTGGCTAGTAAAAGCAACAATGGTAGAATTTGCCTCTGTACTGAGTATTCATTCGAGTACAAGCTGTCTTGTATTTGCTGCAATGCTTGGGTTGTTAGGTCCTTCTAATCAGGAGGTCTCCTTGAACTAATTTATCTACCCACAGCATCGCCTCAGGTATCAGGATGTGGTGAAAGTGAAGATTCAGGCTAAGAACACACAACTGCTCCTCTCATATGGCACTAGAAGCGGAAAAAATGCAACCTGCCTTCACCTTGTCGTGTGGAATTAATGCAAAAGTCACACGCGAGCACAGGTCCACAACACAGTAACTCATACACCAGGCAAGATTTAGTTCAAACAGAGGCTTGAGCTCATGCTTACAATGTAATTCTTGATATAGACCCTAGGGAGTAAAAGCACACGCCCTATAGAAAAATATAATTTTAAGTAATGGTTAAAGTAGAGCAAATGGAGCTAAATGGAGTCTGCAAGTACTTCTGCACACAATTAACTGTATCGATGTGATTAGTTGTGCTGAAATCAAAAATGAATCAAGCACGGGTGGAATTATCTACAGCATAACTTAACATTTAGAGTCGTCATCCTCAAGGAAGAACAACTGTATCAAATACAATTTTAAGAGAAACCTCATCAGGGGTTTAAGACAAATGCATCGCTGAAGAAGCACAGTGGCTGGAGCAAGTTAATTAGTGGATCTTCCTTAGCACTGTGAGCTATGCAGTGTCTTATTCATTCTGCTATGATATACCTGACAGCAAATAGTCCTTTCTCCCTTGTTTCAATTGCTGCTCAGTGAATAATTGATGTTTTTAAACATTTGGGTAGTTAGTTGTGAAAAATAAAGTAGTGGGTCTGTCATGGCTACAATTACAAGAATAGAATTAAATTGATGAAACTGCCAATTAAAATAACATTTGTCGATAAACATGGATAATGAACCAGATAATACTTGATGAAAAATAATGCAATTTAAAAGGAAAAAAAGTTAACCTGTTTATTGTTTGAATGCTGTATTTTACAGACAGGAAAAGTCTGGCCCCAAACTCAGGGTAAAACATTACAAAGCTCAGAACTGAAGTATTATGAAGATGTAGTAGGGAAAATGTTCATGTCACAAGTGACTTCCCTGCCTTACAATCCTCCTTCTCCATTGTAATTAACTTTTCAAAAAGAGGAGTGGGAGTCAATGCCTGCTGACAATTCTGAACATATACTCCAAAACAGAATAATTTGGGGGGCATTTTTGCAAGCAAGTACCTCGATGACGGTTGGTTTGCCCACGTTCTCTACAGTTGGTGAACCGTACAGCACCCCATCGCTGTAGGGTGTCCTCTGTATGTAGCGCAGCCATCCAGGTCTGTCAGGGTAACCCATTAAGTTGGTATTAAATGTGATAGGATCATTGCTTATTTCACCTAGATGGGAAAAGTAGCATCAGAACATTCACAAGAACACGCAATATGCTTGGACTTTGATGTTTGCTTTAGAAAAAAATATTCTGATTTCTAGTTATGTCTTCTAAACACTTCCATGGAGAAAAAAAATAATAATAAATGCTCATCTTTAATATATTAGAAATGTGAATTCACTTGTAAGCATTAAGACATTCTTATCTGAAAAACATAACCACGATGCAGAGATGAATGCACTTGTACCCCTAGACTCATTTTCCAGTGGGTCTGATTTTTAGAACTCAGTTTCACCTAGGATTGAATCATCTAATCTCCCTACTGATGAAAGCACAAATTTTAATGCCCCCAAAGGTATCTTTTAGTTATTTTTTTTTCCCTTTTTTTAAAAAAAATAATTATTCCAAAGACCCAATGTGCCTGGGAGGGCTTACTGTAAACAGTGGCTGTGTAACTACTGATGCTTGAAAGCTTCTATCAGTATCAAGACACACAGATCTTCAGCACAAACAGCCTGGCAGTAATTATTTTTTTTTTCCAGAGAATAAATTAATTCGGAAAGAGGACCAAATATGCCTGCAAAATGGATCCATGGATGGCTATGTACAGTGGTCCAGATGCAATCTCTGAAAGCAAACAACAGCAACAGTTCTTGTGGCTCCTACGGATGCTCTCTCACATGGCTGGTTTTGACTTCTGTTTATTTTAGCTTTTGCAGACACGCCTCAGCAGATCCCCCCTGCTGAGGGGGGGGCACCTTACAACAGAGCACAGAGCTCGAGCAGATCAGTTCTACACCCGTGCACACAGCTCTGCACGGTGCTCCTCAAACTCAGCTCTGAGATGGCACCGGCAGCAGCTGTAGGACAAGTGACAAATGGAGGTGTGACAGAGGGAAGAAACTGAGCTCAGTGAAGAAAGGAAGGCTGTCATCTCCTGAGAGGAACACCTGAAAAAAAGACTGAGAGCTGTTGCCAAATGCTAACTAGTTTTCAGGTGAGCATTTACACGCCTGGCTGTGGCTAAAGGGGCCAGAACTGAAGGAAGGGCCTCACTAACCCAGCACCGAGGCGTAACGTGACTTTCCTCACGGCTCCCCTGGGACATCGCGGTCATCTATTACTGCACTGGTAATAAAATGCCCAGCATCGCAAATGCTTTCTGAAAAGCACCCGTGATACGTTCTGGTTTGCCTTTCTTCAAGGTAGGTCATGCCAAGGCATGGTCGGCTTTGGTCTTCCAGTCAGTTTCGGGTAGGATCACATACATCTACCAGTACAGAGATTTCAGCACTATCTGAAATCAGATTGATGCCGCACTGGAAACAGGCTGGGACCGTAGGCATGTGAAAGATAATCCCTAACTAACACAATGTCCAGGTCTGTGTGCCAAAGATGTGGAAAAACAGGGCCAGAGGCAAACTTCACTGTAGCCCTGGTAGTAGCTCTACCAGTCACTGTTACAGAAAACAGAGACCCAGGCACAAGGGTGAGTGAAAATACCCACTTCACAGGGAGGAAATAAATACATAAATAAATAAGCCGGTTGCATACATGACAAAACTTAACAGGAACTTATTTTGTCTTTGAAGAGAGTTTTGGAAGCTGTACTCTCAAATTGATTCTGAAGCTTATTAATGAAACAGTAGGTTTTGATTATGTATGCACAATACGTGCACTACTTTTTTCATATTTTATAGGAAAAGAGCATACATTTATTTATATTATACATTAAAGGACAGATTTATGTATTTATTATTCCTTTTCAGTGTTGTGGGACGGGATGTTCCTTCTTTCTCCTCTCCCCCCCCAGCTTGTTTATTCTCGCCTGCCAATGAGGGATCCTTTGGCTTTAACTCAGGTGTACATCAAACCACCACGCCTAGGAAATAACAGCTCTGTCTCTAAAAACAAACAGCTTAATAACATCAAACTGTCACTAAATATAGAACTAAGGCTGAATCCAAAGGAGCTTTTTTTTTTCCAGTGAAAGAAAATATCATTACATAGTCTCGTACTTATTTTAATCTTTTCTTTTGTCTCAAGTTTGCTGTATCCCTGCAAAATGCTCCTTCATCAAGCCTGACACCTCCTATTTCTGTAAGACTGATCAAATAAATGCCCTTTTTCAACAAACATAATTATTACACTTCCATCATTTCATATTTAAAGGAAAAAAAAAAGCATACTTCTTAAACTCAGATAAACAGTGTGCTATTGTGCCTTCTCAAATTAACTTCATTTTTTAGAGCACAGTTACATGCATCTTTTCACAAATGATGATCACAAAACAAAACATTTGAAGATATTTCTAAATATCTTCTAAATATCAAACTAAAAACTATCCTTTGTATGTTAGATGATTCAATGCAAGGTACGTTAAATATATATATATATATTAATTTTTTTCAGATTTTTTACATAACATGGAAGATCTTAGCATCCCATACCAGGCTTTGGGTAAGGAGGAAACTCCCCCTTAAAGTACTCTCTCTCCAAAACATGAACAAAAAGAACTCCAGCAGAAGGGTATACATTCCGATCAGAGTGCACCTTAGACAGAATCGTGTACACTGGAAAGCAGAAGGAAAGATAAAAGAGAGAAAAGCACAAGTGAGACATGCTCTAGGTAACACAGCATGCATTTCAACAGCAGTGTGCGCAACCGGGAAGAGGAAAGCAACACATATTAGATACCTGTTAATAAGTTTTTAAAAGGTTGCATAGATTTAAGAACAGAACAAAGGGCAAACCCTCTCCTTCCCCCACAGGATCCCTTCCAATATTGCAATAAACAAAACGGGCTGTGTTAGAATTCAAGTAGTACAACCTATTTGCTTTTATTACAATAAAAAAATGAGGGAGTCTATTGCAATTTTTATAGTTGTTTTATTTGCAATATTCCATACATAAAAATACATGAAATAAGCAATACAATCATTTTTTTAAATATATTTAGCAATAAAATAAAGAACACGAGAAATATTGTGGGATCTTAGCAATAAAGAGTAGTGATTCTTCTCTAAACAAAATAGTAGATTTTTCAGTTCCAGGGCAGAAAAGGGCAAAGCAATTCACTTTAGCTAAGGATTTATGAGTTCTTAAAGATAGATTTTCTTAGACCAGTAGGGCCAGATAATCTACATCTAAAAATGTGTTCACTGAAGATGTTGTGCATGTATCGAAACTGAAGGACGTGGGTAATTATAGGCCAGTCAGATGACAGTGACTCCAAACAAACAAACAAAAATCACATTTTACAGGACCGAAATTAAAAACCTAAAGGAAACTTACTCTAGAACAATATGCCATTTAAATACAGTTAGTTCATAAAAGTACCTCTTATTTAGGTATAACACCTTTGATACAGTATTATAAATGCATTCTAATGAATTCAAGTACAAAAATCATTATGACACGTGAAATGAATAAGAACCCACTTGACTGACAAGTTTCAAATTTTAAGCATAAATGGAAAACACTGATCTAATAGAGGTATGTTGCGGGATCTTAACGGGACTGACTGCAGGTCATATCATTATTCCATGCTAATATTCAATTTTTTTCAAGTCACTGATGTCCAAGAATCAATCACTGATGATAAATTTTGTGCATTAAATTAGGATAACACAAGTGGTAAAGATAAGCCCTGGATAGTGATACACGGCTACCTGCCTTGCATGCTAACTGAAACAGACCTTACACAAAACCACGTCTACAAACAAAGACTCTAGGCCATACAGCATGGGGAAGTCCTATGGAAGAGTGGGCCTACAAGAGACTTTGGAGTCATTGTAATAAACTCATAGGAACAAAGGCATAGCTCCTGGTAGATGAAGGGGCTAATTTCAACATTTAGATCAATAAACAAGAAATATCCGCAATGTGTATCAAACTAAATTTTCTACTAAAATGTTTCTTCAGATTTGTCGTTACACCAACCTTTGTATTTGAGAGCTCCTTAAAAGAAGCCCTGCTAATTAGGCATTAATCACCGACATGGCACCCCTCGTACCACGTACTCCGTGTGGAATCCATCTCACCTAATTTTAGATGCCTACAGAAACAACATCCACCACTGAGTCAGCCGGGCTCCTTTTATAGTCAGTGGAGAGAAACAGACGCTTCTAGGGGTTGATTAATTTGATTTCGCCTGTAAAATGAGATGAATCATGTCCTACATTCCTGCCTCCTCTCACTGGATCTCCGCTGACTACAGCCGAGAGGAGATGCAGACATCTGTAACGCAGACCTTCCAGTCTCCAAGCCGGATCCAAATTGAACAGCCCCATCCTCTTAATACAATATTGATCAAATTCCACAGCAGGAACCTTTCCACTGAACAGCACTGACCGCCTCAGTGAGAGGTCATAAATAAGTAATACTTTTCAAAGGATCGATGACAGGATCTTTTTACCAATAGAGAAAGCGTTCGGTGCCTCGCTTGAGGTACAAACCATTTTCCTGTGAATTTACATGAATCTTGCTGGAACAGTGTCAGCCATAATCATGGTCCCTTCGTTATCTGTGTAACGATCTGCTTATTGGAGTCGGTGTGTTTTTTTTCAGTTTTAGAAGTTCCTTTTGACACAGTAGGGAGCAATGTCTCCACAACAACTTTATCTTAAAGAGAAAATTAAAATGGACCCTGGAATTTTAATATAGTTTATTTTTTAATAATGTATTACAATTGTTGTGATTAATAAACCAATTATTGTAATGTTTGTACAGTAACACAGCTATTTGATTTGCAAAATTAAAATTAACATTTTAGTGACCCCAAAAAACTTGTTCACTCCCTTCTGTGAATAAGTTGTAAACACATCCTGAAAACTTTAATTTCCTGTAAAATAATTTCAAGAAAAGCTGAAAAAATATTTGTAACATTAATAGGTCTCTTCACAGAGCAGAAAAGCTGAGAAAAACACGGTGACTGGATGAAAACGTCAAATATACCCCAAAAATCTATTTTTCCATTTCTGATTCTTTGACTCTACAATAAAGGTCAAACAGGAAGAACAGTGAAAAAGTAATGTATATTTTCTCCTCAAATAATAGTTTTAGAAAGTAAGAAAGATAACAAGGTCAACTGTTACTACAGAAAACCCCATGTAACCCGTATATTTCTTTTGTCTGTTAGAGGAAATCTATTGCTACCACTAATTACCTGCACCTAGATACTTAGCAATGAGACACTCTCTTGCTAAGGTAAACATATGCAGAAGGATTTCACCAAGATTGACGTCCTACATTTGCATAAAATCTAAAAATGCCTCTCAGAAGGAAGAAAAATAAAAGGAAAACGTCCTTGTTTTATCTTATAATGACATTGTAATGACACGAGTCCATAGGGTAAGAACTGGAAAGTCTTTACCCCCCATATCAGATAAGCTCTCTTCTTTTTTCCCAACAAAGTTCCTTCAAAATCAAAAGGAAAATGTTGAGTCTTCAGTCCTCTGCAGTATTCAGTGCTTTTCAGTAATGAAACAAGTGAAACGCTATTTTCTTCAGAAACTTTTACAACTCACAATTATTTTCATAAGATTTCCAGACTGGAGATGAACGTGTAATCATCTTAGGTGATCTAAGGCTGAAGCTGAATACACCAACTTCTAAAGACTAATCTAATTCTACAAACTGTTACGTATGCACTGGGTGGGCAAGTTCCCCATGGCAGATAAAATTCCAAGGACTCTGAAAGGCTTCTGTAAATCTACCCATGAGAAATTAAAATTTTTCACTACATGGGATAACAACAGTTCCCCCCAAAAAAAACAAAACAATAGCAGCTACCTCAACAGCATTGTTGTTTATCTTTCTTGTTTCCAGGTCCCTTGGAGGGCTTTCCAAGATCCCAAGAACTATCTGCACAGAAAGGATAGAAATTCTAGAGACTGGGGGAAAAAAAAGAAATAGTAGATAAATTGGGAACTTAATGTTGGAAAACATGCATCATTCTTTGAGCCATGTAAAGAAATTACCCCAGTTGTCCTTTTTGTGCATGGGCATAGCCAGGAATTAAGCTCAGATTGTATCAGCCTCCAGCCAAGAGGTTCTTTCTCCACCGATTTTTAGCAGAGGAGACAATCCCAGAAATGATTTGGTTTGGGGGCCAATGCAGATGGCCTCCCTGGGTGGGCAGTCAATGCAAAACCAACAGGCTTTTCTCAGCTCGTGTAGAATAGCTACAATATTCTAGGTGCACTCTAAAATATATTTTTAAATATTTTTTAATCTAGGGATTTTGTTTAATTGTTTCAGATAAGTTATTGTATTAAGCAAACTGCAGAGGTGTTTCCAAGCAACCAGCAGCAGTAAGAAAATATGCAATATTAGGTACAAACACAGCCATTATTTCAAGCAAAGCTGGAACTGCAACAGGAAAAGTTGGGGAGAACTAGCAAAGACACACACGTCTGTGAATGTTTAAAAGGCTGAAGAAATGCAAGATTTTCCAAATTACTTACCTTAAAATAGCACCTTATGCCTAAAACAAGGACATGACTGAAAAAGCAGGAGTAATATTAAAAGCAGATTTGACTGAACCAACATGGGGTTTAAATTGATGACCTAAACTCACCATTCTTCTCAACAGCCTTTATTCTGCTGATAACATAGCTGTTGGCTTGCTTAGTCTTCCAGTTAACTGTTCCATTATTGCCATCAGCAGAGCTTAACAAAAAAGCTTTTCAGAATAAAACAAATGCAAAATAAATTAGTCAGATCAACAGACTCCCACAAATCAACTATCAGATGGAATCAGATACCTTCTAAAACAGGTTTTTTATTTAGTCAGAGCTCAGGAATCTCAGGTTAAGAAAACGATGCTGTTTGATATGAATACATAAGTATATATTACTCTTCCTGATACTAACCTTTTTGACATTCATTGCCCAAATAAGCCAAGTTTGCACTAAATGCTTAAGCACCTGCAGCTGCTGTTGCTGACATCATGACATTGGTAAGAAATATATGATGAAGCACATTCTCTGATAAATATATTTGCACCAGTGAAGCCTCATATGCAGGCAAAGACAAACCTAAGGTTACTTTCACTGATGTAATATGTAGTGGTCAAAGTAGGGGAAGTAATATAACCCAGAGCATGGCTTTGCTTACAGGAAGATGCTGGCAACTGGTGCCAAACACCTTGCCTTGCAGCAGAACCAATAACCAGTACTGAGAAAAGAATTGGTTCAAATTAGTTATCTTCACCCCACTCAGCCAGAGACGGTTCCATCAGCACAGCTGGAGGCACAAGAAGGTTTAAACATGGTGAGGAGCAAAGCATGCAGGAGACTCTGAAAGCAGCTGTTGAGCTGCCCAACAGCCTCTGTTTCAGCAGTGGCAGGACTGCCTGAGAAAGCTCCCTCTTCACCTCCAGCTTTTTGGTTTTTTGTTCCTTTCCTCTGCGATGCAGGATATACCAGCTGTTTGTAGGTTACAAGCCAACTGAAAACCCAGATAGAAGGAATTACAGTAAGAAGCTAGGAAGGGAGAGTGGACATAATAAACAGGTTTTATTTTGAAATAGTTTGGAAGTACAAACTCGTGTCAAACTCCAGCTAGAAGATGTTATCAGGCTAACATCTTAACTTGCTTAGAAAAATAGCAATGTCAGAATCAAACAAGTAGTGGTAGTTTCCCTCGGATACATCTCTGTTGACAAACATGCATTAAAAATATGCACTGAACCTTTATACTAGAAACGTAAATATTTGTGGAAATTTCTGCTGGCATGGCTGCACTGGTCAGCTGTCGCCCTACTGATATATACCACGTTCTCCACGCAGAATTTGGGAGGCCCAACAGATCAGGCTTAAGAAGGAAAGATGCACAAACACGGATCTGTGCATGTGGCTGAAACACTTATTAGTGACAATTTACCCAAAACAACTAAAATTTATTTTAGGATAAAGCATAAGAGCACAACAAGCAAAAAAAAAAACAACTGTGTACTGAAATTACCCTACCAGCACAATGACATTTCTCAATTATACATTTGTTAGCTTTCTTTAGATTTTCCATATACAGCAAGGATCTGGTTTAGCAACAAGCTGTTATTGCCATCCAGTGTTCTCCATCTGTCTCGCATGAAGGACAGCTTCCTCCCTGCTGAAATGATCTGCCTACCCTGAAAATCTTAATACAATAGTGTCTATTTATAGGTTACCCCATGCAGTGCTGTTCATGACCTTTAGTGTACATTTTTGGTAACACTAGGAATGCTCAAAAAAATCCAAAAAGGTAAAATAAAGTTGTTGTGGTATTTCAGATGCATGATCCAGGCAATTAGGACCTTTTCAGATAGAAACCAATCCCAGGCAAAGCAATTTGATTGGATTAATGAAGGATTAAATGTTGAAGAGTATTATACTTATCAGGATCGACAAGGGTTTAATGCATCCTTTCAAACTGATGCTTTTTGATAAGTTTGCCTGATAAAAACAGCATACTGGCGACATTACCCGTAGACATACAGCATGTCCCCTAGCACTCTGAGAAACCAGATGCAAAATGAATCTCGCCTATTTAAATGGAATATATATAGAAAAGTTCAAAGATGCCTTTTCAAAATACATTTTTTATATTGAAAAATAAATGATCAGTGTCTTTGCTCTGGGCCCACAAGTGGGGATTAACGAGGTTACCTGTCCACCCCTCTACCTTCGTTGCAGTCCATAGGGGAGCTGGAAAAGCATCCAATGCATCTGTTATTCAGATGCCATGCTTTACAGTGTAGTGTTTTAATATAAGTATATACATCACCATCTATTTGATTTTAAATGAAAGGTGTGAAATGGAACAAAAGAGGAACACACTGCTCATTCAGCAGCTCTCATCACAGGAACAGCAGTCTCAAACAATAGATCAGGGCTCCTGGATAGTTAATTGGTTACATCAGAGTTCTAGTATGTCTCACAAAGCACTGGCCTTATGCTACTGGAATATTTTAATATATATAAAATGACCAGGATATATACCATATATTGATAAAACCTGCAGGTTAAACCAAAGGCTGGGAGGTTAATAAATAATGTAAGCGACAAGCCGCTAACACAGCACAGTGAGTTGTTTGGTTAGCTTAAGGTGATCACTGATGTGTACTTCAGTAGAATAAAATGTAAATACTTGCCCAGGAACAAAGGAGGCATGGCGTACTTACGTTACAGAGCATGCAGTTCAGGGATCCAGAACTTTGATAAAAGACACTACGGAGATGTGGCAGATAACAACGGGTTGAACAGAGGCTTTCAGCAGAACACTGGTTGGAACAGCTACTACGTAAACAAGTACATCAAGGAGTAGCAGGGAGATTTTATTTTTGTGTGCGAGACAGATATGATCACCGTTCAAATGCTGTGTCTGGTACGTACAAAGAGCCTTCACGAAGCGTAGTGACAACATGAAGAAAGCTCAGGGAGTATCTGTGAATATGATTAGAGGATGACAAAAGAGGCCCTATACTGAAGAGCGCAGGAGTTCAGACTACTCATTTTTACTGAAGATAAATTTTAGAGAGAATGTGATCACCTTCGTACTCACAATGAAAAAAAAATGTTAATGGTGTCAGGCTCTTCAGTTTGTTACACATTGCCAGGGGGTGCAGAAGGACCAGCTCCCAGCTCTGTGCCTGGGACCTGGACATGCTCAGGACAGAACATCCACCTACAGGGCCCTTTTTTGTTAATTTTACTTGCATAGATCTTATGTAAAGGTTTCAATTATTAATACTTAACAGCAGAATATTAAATGCAGCACACAGCTCCACCTCTCAAAACCCTGCATTGCCCTTCTCTCCCATACCTCTACCCCTACAAACCCAGAAATGTTTCCAAGCTCTACAATTATTCATCTGTGCTCAGTGCCTATCTGCCTGTTTCTGTTCCATCCATTTCGGACTGTAACATCCGAGCGTTTCTCTGAGATCAACAATGACAAGCAACCAGATGAGGCATTTTGTCAGTCTCACTGTGAAACTTCAGCAGTTGCATTCTTGGGAATGCTGCAAATGACACACTGGAAGAACGAAACCCTCGTGCTTTATTAATAGCAACATTTAGCCACCACCATTCTCCCTCCTACCACAGACCTGACAAAGAAACCAAATCCCTGTAGTTTTTCCACAAAGGCAAGGAAAACAACATTGCCACAATTCCTACAGTTCAGCCCTGAGCCCATGGTGTAGCCAGGGAAGGAACATTGCCTGGATTCCTCTTACATTTCCATCTGCTCTTGATACAAATTACTAGAGTATCTCTACTTAGGTCTGATTTCTCAGGCTGCAATTGATTCAAAAGATTAAAGAAATTCAGAAAAGCCACAGGTTTCAAGATGCTGAGGTTGCCACCTGACCAGTACTTAGTTCTTTCTAACTTCCCATCTCAGTGGCTTAGGCTACCACTAAAAATAATCTACATTAAAAAGACATTTTGGCTGGTTGTGCTGCAATTGTAACAACATTTAGCCAGTCTCCACTACTTAGTTGGGAGGGAAATGTCAAATCTCACTACAATCATGAACTGATGGACGTGGAAAATTGCCTGGTTTTAGCCAGTCGTGATTTAAATTTTTCATACTTATTCAGATAACAAAGCTATTATCATTAGGTTTTACCATTAAACAGTTACCAGCCTTGAGTTACATCTTCACTAACACAGCAATGTCATACAGCATTGTTTTTTCAGTGGTGAAACCATGCCCATTTAATGACAGTTATTCTTGTCCTTTAGCTTCACAGTAACAGAATTGACAATCTCATTTGTATTCGAAAAGCTGAACCTTAAATATCATTGCAACAACAGTGGCAAGTCCCATTTTTTCTAGCACCGAAGGAGATGATCATCAGCTACTGTTGGAGAGCAAGGTCCTCCACTCTTGAGTACAGTACCAGCTCCCTGGGATCAAATGCAGGACTTCTGAAATCACTCTTACACTCTTTAACCTCTTGAGTCTCTTAAAATCTCTGAATTTTGAGTTAACATTTTGCCGGTGGGAAAAAGAGCAAACAGTCTGGACTTCTGGCAGCAAACAGCCTCCTTCAAAAAAAACTCTGTGTATATATCTCATAGATCTTTAACACATACAAAAAGCATAAGGTAAGTTTATTCTGTAGTCAAGTGTTACAACAGAAACAGGAAAAACTAATCTCTGTTAGTAGAAGAGAACTCAAATCTATTCATCGATCTTGCAGTCCTTCCCATATTGTTTTCTCTGTAAGCTGCTCATTTGGTTTTGCCTGGCTAAATAATGCTTCAGTGCTATACAGTCTCCTTAAGGACAGAATTTAAAATAAATATTTTTAAAATAAACTACAGCCTATGGGAGGCTGTAGCTTTGCTTAGGACCAGCGATCCAGGTTGGAAGTTCTCTCACATGGTCACAGCTGAGATGCCAGGCACTGGGAAAGCTGTAAGATGGACAGGTTCAGCCCAAGAGTTGCATTCAAGAGCTATAATGAATATAATTTTGTTTGTTTGTTTGTTGGCTTAAAGGGGGAAAAAAGCTCAAGTGAGCCCTGGGGCAGTTTATATCATTCAAATTACTATGAGCTGTCCTGTGTCATACCTGAATTCAGACCAGGGACATAGTACAAAATTCCACCCTGACGAAGAATAGATGTTATGCAGATATCACTCACAAGAACTTAATACTGTTCATGTTTCCTTCCTTGTATTGGTCTCAAGCCATTTATTGTGCTGTTGGAACTAATGAAATCCAACTTGAGACAAGCTTAAAAAGGTCTGAAGAGGAAAAGTTAACAAAAAAAAAATTAAAACTTCTTCCTTTACTGTGGAGCCTGGGAGGGACTTGTGGATTAAGCTCCCAACTCAGCCTCCAGAAATGCATTTTAGTTGAGCTTTTTTGGATTTAATATCTCCGTAGATACTGAAAGCTTATCCTAGGACTGTCCTAGTTTTCCCTTGGCTGCCATGCCAGTCTTGGGAGAGGGAGGCAGGAAGGATTTCCACATTAGGAGAAAGCGGTATCTTGCAGTATCCCGTAGTACCGTGCATCTGACAAATTCAGTTTAATCCTTACATTGAACAACTTAATGCTTGGGCGCTAATTGCACCTTTAATACACCCAGCACCTCATGTCACTTCTGCTGTCGGTGCCCAGTGACAAGTACTGTCACACACCTCCCGTACTGGAGGTATATTTACCCATTACTCAGGATGATATTGAACAGATTGTTAGTTTCCAGATGGCATACCCTTGAGCCCTCACACCACAAAATAATTTAGAGAAACATCGCTGTTAACCTGTTTTTGGGGTGCCAACAGCCTCACCGCAGCACTTGTGGCTGGGCTGCTGGCGAAGCACCTCAGGGTTGAAGAACCCCGGCGGGGTGAGACCCGAGCATGACCCGATAGCTACGGTTTATATGCATCAGGGAGCTGAATTAAGGCTTTCTCTGCAGCCTCAACCCCGGCACGGCAGGATTAAGCTGGCAACTCCTTTAGCCGGGGCGGCACACGAAGGACGGGCTGGCACAGCGCCCAGCGCCCGGCCGGGGAGGCGGCGGCCCCTGCCTTACCCGGGGAGCCCCGAAGCGGCCGCGCCGCCCTCTCCGCACCCCAGTGCCGCACCGGGAGGCGGCTGCGGCCCCGCTCCGACCCTCGGCCGCCTCCCGAGGGAGAAAGAAGGGGCCAAGGCGGGGCAGGCTCCCGGCGGCTCCCGGCGCCGCGACCGACCTGTGAGCAGCAGTGCGGGCCATGGCCCCGCCGCGCAGCACCGCATGGCTCCCCGCTCCGCCGCCACCGCCGCCGCCTGCTGCCGCCACCTCCGCCGCATCCTCCGCCCGCCGGCCCGCCGCCGCCGCCTCGCCTCGCCCCGCGGCAGCCGCAGCATCCTCCCCTTCCCTCCCCGCCCCTGCCCGCCTCTCCCCGCCCCGCTCCGCTCCGTGCCGGCCCCGAGCAGCGCGGCGGAGAAGCGGCGGCACCGCCGGGAGGAGCCGCTCGCTGCCTACCCCCCCACCCCCCCCCGCCTCAGGCTGCCGGCCGCCATGTTAGGGGGAGGCGGGCGGTGGGCACGGGCTGGCTGTGGTAGAGCCCCGGCTCGTCTTGCGCTGCGAATGCATCGACAGCGAAAGCCTCCACTTTTCAAAAATTGTCTTTTTTTTTACGTGTAAATGCGATGTGTTTTTTTTTTTCTTAAAGCAGCGCTGAGCCGTCATCCCGGAGGGTACGGTCAGGGATCCAAGCCCTGGGTTGCAGCGTGCATTGGGGCTCGCTGCCCTTCTCCCATCGCTGTCCCGCAGCGCCGTGACCCCGTTAAAGGCTGTTCTCCGTCTCCTGTTAAAGGCTGTTCTCCATCTCCTGTTAAAGGCTCTACTCCATCTTCCAGCCCAGGCCCGGCAGTGCTGTGCTGCCTCGTTGGACACAGGCTGCTGATTGCTGCCTGCCATTTGGTGTCTGCGCTGCAGCCCCAAAGCGATGACAGGAAAGCTGTCGCAAAGGGAGCAAATGCTCCATTCCGGGAAAGAAAAATACCGTCAAATACACTTCTCTGCATTAGTGGTGCTGTATTTTGTGGGTAGATGGATGCAGATGTGATACATAACCCGTAGAAGAGACATCACCATGCAAATAGGGCAGTTACTTCTGCAGAGCTACACTCTAGAGCTTCCAGTATTGTATATACAAGATAGTCCCTCTACTAGAACTACAAACTGAACTACATCTAGAGCCATGCCTGGTTTTATGTTTTATTTAGTTAGTTTGATTAACTCATCTCTTAAACTTGCAATGTCTTAGGACAATTAGAAATGGGAGGGTAGATTTTTTGACATATTGAATGCTTTGTAAACATTTCGCTGTACAGGCTAGCACAGCAGCTCTTTTAAATAAGGAAAAGGTAGTAAGTCTTCTAGTTATCCAGGGAAATGACCTTCCTTCCTTTGTTGTGCATAGAGAAATTTGATTTCTCATCGAAACTTCCTAAGTATTTCTAGCCTTGAAAGCCAAATGTGTCTGCAGAAATAATAATATGCTTTTGAGGTTTGGTAGGGAGAAGTAAAATCTGGCTTTCTCGAAATGTATTGAACCTATTGAGCTCTTTAGAAGCAGGGGAAGAAAAGATGAGTGTGGAAGACTTTCACCCTGTCTGGCTCATGAAGGGGAACCTTATGTAGTGAGTGGCTTTTCAATACAGAAGTTGTACCTGACATTAAGATGCAAAATGCTCTGGTGTTTTAGTCAGCCAGTTCATTGTCCCAGATGAAGGCTTTTTGGTTCTTTTTCCACTGAGACTTTTTTTCAGAATATATTTACATTTTTCACGTAACTACACAGACATTTATGAGCAGAAATTACACTCATTTACCTCTATCTAACAGTATTCTTCTCCTTCATGGCAGCTTTATACTTTTGAGTAGGCCTCCTTCCATTCCCCTGCTATGTATGATTTTTGGATTAATTTCCTTATGAAAGTGTACAAAGCCATACAGGTGCAGCTGTGCCACAACCATCTGACATAGCTAGCTCCTCCTGTGATGGTAATGTTTAAACTAATGAGAGAGAAAGCTGATGGCTTTCCAACAACAATCTTGATGCTAGTAAAAGGCCTGATTCTTGTAAACACCTGTACTGTCATCACCTTATTAATTACCATTTGCCTTCCAAGTTGTATCATGTTGAGATGTTATCCTTATAGATGCTATAAAACTGTCACCATCAAAGGTTTTCACTGCAGTAGCAGCAGTGTAGTGTTCATCAGAACGATGTCTGCACAGAAAGAAGGCTACACTCACCTAAAATGTGTTTGTGGGATACACTGCCCGAGAAGAAACATTTATGTGCCATTGATCTGTGAGGAAGAGTGGGCCTGCCTTGGCCCATTGCTTCCTTCCTTCCCTGCAGCCCTGGGGTGTGGGTGCATATCTGGATCTTTTTTTTTAAGTCATATCTTGAGGCTCGCATTTTGAATTGTACAACACTCACCTAGCCCTGCAAGACTTCCCTGAGAAACTCTGGATAGTTCTGTGCACTTTTTAAGGATTCCCTCCTTACTCACATTCACAATATGGACAAGACAACATGTTTACATCAGCCACCAATGACTTGATCTTGGTGAAAAATACTCTTTCTGGAAGTATTTACTTCCAGAAGGTACAAGGTACAAGGTACAAGGTAGTCTCCTTGTACCGTAACCTAACAGACAGGCTGTTATAGAATGAATGGAAAGGGCTGCATTGATGTTCTCCATATAAAGTGCTTTGGTGAGTAGAAAAGCTGGTTTCTAACACTTCCTAAAGTACTTTTTAACTGTTGTGGTTTTTTTTGTTTTGTTTTTTTAATTCTAGAATATAAATACTATTTTTTTTTTAATGGATGCAGTAGTCACAATTACTGTATCCACATGTGTTCTGCAGGTTTGGTTTGAAGGTTTATTTTCTTCTTCAGACACAGCAGGCAGTCAACTTCATGCAGCCTAATCCTTTTGCCTCTTCCTCTTCCAGAGCATGGGTGCTTGCAGCTTGATATTTATAGATGCTAAAACCTTGCAAGTGCCTAATGCTTCTGAAGATCAGCCCACCTAAGGAGAAAAAAGTATGGTTTTTTGTTGTTGTTGTTGTTGTTGCTGGTGGTGGTGTTGTTTTTGTTTTTTTTTTTTTTAAGGCACTGTCCTGGGGAAAAAATGTATCTATATATAACTTTAATTAAAGATAACGACTACTACTAGTTCTTATGTAAAACAAGAAAGATTAACTAAAGTTCTTTTTCCTGTTCGCCATTCCCTGGGAGTATATAATAACACCTTTCATTGCATTCCAAGGATTCTCTTTTCTTTCTTAGTTCTGTTTTTCTAGTGTTGACTGGAAGCTGTTTGGCACATTGCTATGGCAATTTGTGATTGCAGTAAACAGATAGTTCTTATGTAGTGTTGAACTATATTTTAAATGTAGTAATGCTACCAGAAACTATATGCAGCAACAACAACAACAACAAAAAATTCAAAAATTAGGCTTTTATGTTAAGCTTAAAAAATTAGGCTTTAATGTTATTTGAAATGCAACCCACAAGTGCTTATTTAAACAAAGTACGTTATTCAAAATTATCTTCCAGAGTTGAACAGAAGTAGACTTTTATGAACTCTGTTTTTAGCTGATTTAGCCTATGTATTCTATATTTTTTCGCAGAATTTCAGATGCTTAAGAGGAACACAAAAGACTGAATTCTGTGATGCACTAGTTTTCACTAGAATTTGGCATCTGTCTTGGAAAATACCATGTGCTCAAACAAAGAGGGTTGCGTATATCCAAATAGGGAAGTGATAAATGAAAATAATAATAATAAAAAGAAGTTGGAAGAAATTAGACACTCTAAGTTAAAACAGCCCGCAGGCAACTTTAGAGTTTGCTGAACCTGCACATGTATAGCCAGTAGCCCGGTGTGTCAATGACTCTGACTTTATTACAGAGATTTCATGTGTCTGAATAGTTCTTGTGACTTTCCAGACAAACACTCAACTGCACCTGAAATACGTGTTCCTGTCAATACTGGAGAACTGTCACTGTTTATAGGCATGGATGGCCCACGTTTTTCCACCTCTCCCTCTACCACAGGGCAGCAGCAAGTGTGGAACAGCATTGAGATGGTCTTTTCACTTGTGAGAGGCTTCCATTTCAAACATGACTGTGACTGAGTGCTCGCTGACTGCATACTTTAAGAATGCTAAGGAATACTAAGGAATACCTTAGTTTAAAAGAAAAAGCTGTGGACTCTGATTTCTGTCATGTAATTTTTCCTCTGGTCAAAGATTTTAGGGAGCATATTAGTTCAAAGAATTAATATTCTAGAAAGCATAAAAATAGCTAGACAGACTATAAGTTTAATTTTTCTCTCCTTGCTCTGTGTTGGGAAGGGCTATGCTTTGTAGAATGTCACAATAAATAAATACAGTGCCTACATTGATGTAACATGGAGGAAAAATAGTCCAGAATCATTATCTGAAATTCTTTAAATGTCTGTAGTACTCAGATTATGTGGCTACTTAGCCCAGCATTAAGTGTCCCTACAATAATATTTTCCTGTTCTTTCCATGGGCTCTGCTATTCCTAAATCTTTGGTTCTTAAATTTGGCTCAATTTCTTTTAAATTCTGAACAGATTGTTTAGTGTGATGACTAAATTAGTTTAAAATTCTGAAGTGATTCTTCATTGTTCATCAAGTCTTAAGTTACCTACAAAGATTTCTTGTTTCAGCCTTTCTTGTATTTCACGTCAAGGCAAACCTCCCCCACCTAGGAAGGTGGGTGTCTCTTCAAAAGCATATGTGAAACACAATTACCAGAGTAAACTGCTGAAAAATGAGAACTTCTAAGTTCTGTTAACATGTGGCTGCCTAAAGCTATGCACCTTTTATGGATAATTTAACTAACAAGGGTCCTCTGTACTTCAGAGGTCTTGCTCGTGGGAATACGAGATTATTTATACTTTGAATTAACTTTTTTAAAAAAATATTTATTTTTTTTTCCAGCAGAGCATAGGCCCTGGAATGCATCTGCATGATGATATGCTCCCCAGATGCATAGAGCTAGCTCAGAAGAAACTATTAGTGAAACAATGCCCTAAGTGAGCACAGTGGCAAGTGCAAGTGAGTAGATCTTCATGTCCAGCTCTGGCAATAAAATCTTTCTGATTTATGAACATTGCACATTCTTTTGAGGGGCTTCATGTGCATTGTTATACATAAGTGAGACTGTGTATGTCTATGACCTTAAATCCTTTGTTCTGTTTGATGCAATAAATCAATGCTTCTCTGGAGAAGCAGTTTTTATGTCAAGATAGAGTCTATGAACAAATTGGGGGTGGAGTAGGATCTCATGCAGGTGCCAAACCTTGGATCTTAGTGTATGGCTTGGAT